GGGAACAGAAATGTCAGCTGAGAAATACGAGTACAGTGATGCAAGGCGTACATGTTGCTATACGCTCACAGAGCGAAGGAGTGTGACCCGTGGCCACCGATATCCTTATGCCGACGGATATTATGCCAAGACTTTCTGCATTAGGCGAAGATACACGGCGAGAGCCACTGTTTATATCCGTTTTTACCTGGAAAAGCGACGGATAATAGGCTGATTTATGAGTGGGCTCAAGAGAAGAAAAACTGTGCTCCTGTTCAGAATCGAACCTCGGTTATCCAGGCCGCAGCAAGTCACTTAACTGAGTCGGCAGTAAGAATGTTAAATAAACAAACAAATGAAATGCTGTTCTATAATAAGACACATAGAATTTTGTACAGAGTGAGGGAAACTTCGGTTTATCTTGAACCAGCAGTGTCTTCGTGAAGCATTCGGTGCCGTGGATGCACCCAGTTCTGCACAACATTCCGGTTATATAAACAGAAAGCGTTTGGTCAAATTGTCACTTAGACAAAGTGGACTTCTAGACAATTCCCCGCCCACCACCTGGTCGCCTGCCAGTAACATCATTGACTGACATCTCAAGTGGTATAATTCCCAAATGGCTGATACATTTCTTCCTCGATGGTCCTGTTTATATGGGCTTCGTCTTTCGTCCCCTTTTGATCCTCTACTGTTGTCATAACGCCTGCTTTATTATATTATCTGTGTGTTCTTATTTGTGTTTGTTTACACCTGATATTAGTAATTTAGGTTTCTTATGTTATTTATGTGTATATAAGAATTTATTGGCTAATTTGAAGAGGGCTTATACTGCGCTATGTATGATTTGTAAGGTACAAAGTAAAACTTTTCTACACGTAAAAAATTATTTCAAAAAAAGATAAAGCTATCTCAGTAACAGGCCGTGAAAGTCCATAGTGTTGTAAGACGTCGAGGGTCCCACATTTTCTCTAGACAGTCGGCTCAAAGATGGCGGTAATGTAGTCAGTCTTACGCGCCGGCCGCCCTTTACCCCACAGGAAGGTTCCTGGTACTCATTTCTGTTAGAGGCTGAATCAACCCCAGGGCCATAGTGCAGTTGGAAGGATTAGATAAACTGAAAAAATCCACCTCATCGGGAATCGAACCCGCGACCTTCCAGCTTGTAGCATAGTGCCTCAACCAACTACGGCACCGCGTGACCCATAAAAATGATGTAATTAAAATTAAGTATTCAAAGTGGAACACGCGGTAGCGTAGCTGGTTCAGGCACTATGTTACAAGCCGGAAGGTCGCAGGTTCAAGTCCCGATGAGGTCATTGGATTTTTTCAATTGACCTAATCCTTCCAACCGCACTATGGCCCTGGGGCCGACTCAGCCTCTAACAGAAATGAGCATCAGGAATATTCTTGGAATGTTATTATTATTTTACTGCAATTGGGTGTTCACCCGCTGGCAGTGGAACTTACTGATACAGACAAGGAAAGTTTATAACATGAGGGGACAATACAATTCTTTGGGGCAAAGGGCGGCGGGCGCGTAGGGCTGACAACCTTTGCGCCATCTATAAGTCGATTGTCTAGAAAATGTGGGAACCTCAACATCTCACAACCCTATGGGCCTCCACGGCCTGTTACAGGGATAGCTTTACTTTTACTTTAGTTTACTGTAGAAAAATAACATAAATTTTCAAGCTTAAAAGTAGGGAATAATAATAAGAAGAATAATGATAATAAAGGCAATTATTAATACAAGATCGCAAATACTGGAACACACGTGCGCCGTGCCATAGTGCAGGCGGTTAGTCGCTGGTTTCCCATCACAACAGCCCGAGTTCGATCTTAGTTCAGGCCATGTGGAATTTGTGGTTAACAAAGGAATGTGTTTTCTCCTAATACTTAGATATCTCCCGCCAGTTGTGATAGCACCAAATGCTCCACATTCATCCTATCACCTGACACTATGTAGTCTCGATACAGAGTCGTTAATTAACCAAATAAAAAATTAACAAAACACGTTGCTTTCGGAAAATCGACAACAGGTCGTCATCGTAAAAAAAAAATCCTTAAAGTCTTTGAGCCAAAACTGGTGTTTGTCTCTTTGCCCAAAATGGATCGCGCCTCCCCTGCTACCGCAGTATGCACGCGTAGGAATCGCGGGGATGCGTGGGTTTAGTCCGGGTCTTGCTAGCGCTGTTCACTGCAGGTGCTGGGAAATCAAGACCCTCCAGTTTGCTTTCTCTGCACTCTTCCTGCCACTGATTTTAATATTGTCTTTGCAATTGTTATTAAATTCTTCTCTTAATGAGTTTTCAAATTTTATCATCCACGACAATAAAGAAACAAACAAATAAATAAGTATTAATATGCATGCTAGTGTGACCAATATGACTATTCACAGGCAACGGTTCGATAAACACCGCATGAAAGCCGGAATAGCAATGAAAAATCGGAACTCCATTTACTAGGCAACGGCTCTTTAGCACGTGTTTTAGCTGTAACGGATACAACAGAATGCCAACTAACTCTTCGAGGTGGGCCGCGCCATAGCTCAAGTGGTTAGTCGCTCACTTCCCACCGCGGCGGCCTGGGTTCGATCCCGGGTCTGGTCAAGTGGCATTTATGGTGGACAAAATGGCGCTGGGGAAGGTTTTCACCGAGTACTTCGGTTTCCCTTGCCAATCTTCATTCCACCGATTGCTACCCCAATCACCCTCACCTATCATCTGGGGCTGGTACAATAGGCCAGAAGTGGCCGCAGTACAAGGGGCTTAGTCCCACCCCACTAGCAATAAAAAGAATGTTCGAAGTGGTGATCTCTATTTTTTCTTGCGAAGTTATAAAAGGAGAACACATGAGAAAGCTTGGCAGAAATCTTTCGTAAGGGATTCTTCGTTCGGCATTGGTCACAGTGGAGAAGAAGGCACCCGTAGTCCAGTTACGAATGGAGCGAGTCGTAAGCAGCCATTGATTTTAAGCTGATATAATTGGTTATGCCAATAAATCCAGTCATCTAATCCAGATGCCGTTATGTTAGTCACGCTAACGCGATAATTGTGTGCATGTGTTGTGACAATAGTTTTGCCACCTCTTATTTGTGGTTGTGAAATGCGGTCTCTGCTTCTTCTGGGATAAATATAAGTTGCAAATATTTAAAAACAAAGCTCTCAGGAACATACACCAGAGAAGACTAAAAGAAGTGAGCAGTTTATGAAATTACACGACGAGGAACTTTCTCGTAATATTAGTAAAACTGTGAAATCAATATGTAAGCCACCTGCTCACGCTGGTTCCTCGCTCGAGGATTTTTCCTTTTCTTTTTTTCTGCCCTGAAGATGGAGGCGATACGTTCCTCTGAAACGTCGGTTTGCACAATATCTACACGGCGCCACATACCAGTGTACGGTATTCTTCTTGTGAAATCAAGGTTGCAGCGGACCAGATTTAGAATTCAAATGGTGTAAAAAAATACATACACAATTTTGGTAGGAAACACATTTGGCATAGGAAGAATGAGAATGGAGGGCAACAGTAAGATTGATATTAGTGATAGGTTTGAGGGGATTGGGGTGGGGAGGAACTTGATCAAGTGCCTTGTTGTTAATATTGTTCTCTGCGTCATCATCATAATCAGCAAAAGCTTACTACTTCCTCAAACTTCCTTCCAGATAGTACCGATCATATAATTACATAGTTCATACAAGGGCTGTCATTTCCTCTGTACAACGAGGTAATTCTGTAAACATTCAACAACATTTCATCCCTTACAGTCAAGAGCCGTTCTGGAAAGAAATCTCTCGTGTATCTTCATGTTGACTTGAAGTATGGACAGTCACTTCATGCAGCTTTGCATCTACAGTGGGGACAGGTAACTTCCAGATCGCACCTTCTGCAGTCAGAGTAGACTCTCAGATTTTACGGTTCTTCCAAGCAGCCAGTCAGGATGAAAAATTTATTTTTCGATCCGCAAGTGCGTCCGTTGTAATCAGAGCTATTTCTTCACGATCCTTCCTTTTAACCAGGTACGGCAGACAGTCAGTTCGGATATAATTATTTCGCCCTCACCTCCTCAGTTCTAGTAGTCCAACCCATATTTTCAGACAGGCTGGAGAGCCAGGTTTACACTCCATATTGTGTGTTTTTTACGAATACATATAATTTGGGCAGTCGTACAACAGATAATCAAAAATAAACAAAATACACACTGCTGTGTCAACATTTGATTTTTATTTGTTGTTGTTGGTATTTACATGTTTCGATCCATTTGCTTGTTCTGCGACTCTCCCAAATTATATCTATTTCACTCCCTACTTGACAGCCTGATGGGAATATTTACCTATCCTTCTACGCTGCCAGATTCGATGGACAGTCAGGTAATGCCTCTGGTCAGCGTGGATATGAATCTACCTCTGCGAAGTCAGAACAGGTGAAGGTAAAACGTAAAAGTATTCCTGTGCTTAATTAATTAATTAAGGACTACACCATGAAGGCGTATGGTGGGCTGGATGTATAGATTCATCTTTCTTGACCTCGGCACTAGTTGAAGGCGAGTGGCCAGCTTCACGCCCCTGCCGCTTTACCCCTCAGGAAAAATAGGCCCCGGTACCCATTGGACAAGAGACTGGTTGGGTCCCAGAGCCGGTCTGGGCGCTGGGGAGAGGAGAAAAATCTTGCACTGCAAGGAATCTATTGTAGGCCGTAGCCCGTTCCTATACCGACAGAGCTAATTCGATTCCTTTCATGCAATTAGGATGTAGTCAATCAGGTGATCAATAAATGTTTTCGTCCTTCCGTTAAGCCAGGGTGGACAGAACCCTATCTCACTGTCCCTCTTTTCGTAAAAGATGTAGAGGAAGTTGTTTCTTTTCTTCTGTCAGTGCGCTTAATATGAAGAGAATCTGTCTCCTATCCTTCCCTGCGGCCAGCGTTCTGCTGTTCCATCATGCAGCCAGTGTGGACAGCTCCGCCCAATGTCCGGCTGCTGTCGTCATGCTGTCAGTTAAAACGCCTCTTATATCATTGTCCTGTCCCTACGTAATGCTTCGGCCGGGGAGCTGCGCTCTGGTCCGCTCATTTTCCACTGACGGAAGTGCCTGGTGCTTTATGATTGTGTAAAAGCCAAACAGTTTTTCTTAGTAAAGTATGAAGCTTCCATCCTCAGTACTGGACACTGGAATGTTGAACTGCGCAGAGTTGTGACAGGAAGGAAAGCTCAAGGAATTGTCTTCATTAGATCTCAATTGCACGAAACTGACGCATCTGAACAAGGTAACGGAGTTCTGAATATTGTATGTTGTTTGAATGTCTGGCACTGCGTGTTTGTGGCAGGAACTCTGATGTCGCATGCAAGCATACTGAGGTCACAGAGTAGTCTTTCCCCCTTCAAATCCATTTAGTGCCACATCCTGAAACTATATTCCCACCACTTTAGGCCTTATGGGCCAACTCGCAGTGACTGACATATGTTCAACAGCCAATGTACGTCTTCAGGTTCAATGGTGGTCATTATTTTGTGATACGTACCAAATTTATATTGTTGTCGGTCTTTTTATAATATTGAAGAAATATTATGAACCTCCAATTGGTGCTTGTTAAGACGATTGGAACCACGACGACGACGACGACGACGACGATGATGATGATGATGATGATAGTAAAAACAGGGAATAGAGAAGGTAATATTTGTGGTTGTGGGATTTCAAAACAACATGTCTTACTTTTTAAAATGTGCTCCATCAATACGTACTTCATGAGGACAAAATTGAGACAATTATTGGTTACCTACATTGATAATAGAATAGTCTTTGCTACGCGAAACACGCCTAAAATATTCACTACATGTTCTACACTGAAATGTGTAAAATGAAGACCACTTTAATTTGGGAATTATTTCCACTTATGTTCACAGTTAAGGCGCACGCAGTAGCGTAGTTGGTTGAGGCACTATTCTACAATCCGGAAAGTCGCGGGATTGAATCCCGATGAGGTGGATTTTTTCAATTTACCTAATCCTTCCAACCGCACTATGGCCCTGGGGTCGACTCAGCCTCTAATAAAAATGAGTATCAGGGATCTTCCTGGGGGGTAAAGGGCGGCCGGCGCGTAAGTCTGACACCCTTACCGCCATCTGTGAGCCGATTGTCTAGAAAATGTGGGAGCCTCGACATCTCACAACCCTATGGGCCTCCACGGCCTGTTACAGGGATACCTTTACCATATTCCAATTAAAACTCCCCAAAAAGAACTGATTTGGAATAAATTTTGTATTATAATTTAATTTAGCTTCGTAGAATTATATCTGCTAGTTGTATCCATATGCCCTTTGCGAGGAGAGAAATTAAAGGCATCTCAGTAATCTGCTTTCCAGGTCGCTCTAAACATTTAAATTTGTCCCTTATAATTCTTATTTCTCGCAGGCTCATGCGTGAAATGTTCATGCCACAGGCATCACGTCTACAAATCTTCTGAGAATAGAATACGAAGTGAGAACCTCGGCTAATGGCTAAGTTAATCAAAGCGGAGGACTAACATCACAATATTAGTCTAAACATAATAATATAATAATTTAAATATATCAAATTAAAATGCCTTCCGAGTACACATGCCGAACACCGAACAGCATGGTGAGCTCGAAAAGACAGATGTGACGAAAGCACGCAACAGAAATCTAATTCACGAACTCAGTGTTAAACATTGCACAAATGTGCACAGTCCAGGGAGGAAGAAGGTTCATAGCCAAGTATAGAGAACACACACCTAGATCAGCCTTTGCGCAGACAAACTTCAGTTCGCAAAACATACAATAGACACAGATGTAGTTAGATCTAAGCTGCAATATACAATACAACATGATAATTTTGAAAATACTATTTACATAAAGGAATAGTACTTGATACACATGAAGAAATACGTTATATGTATATATCGCCAAATGTTGTTAGAATGACCAGACCAAGGAAGAAGATACAAATATGACATGTAGTGCAAATAAGAGAGAAGAAAAATGTATATAAAACTTTGGCAAGAAAACCTGATGGACAGAGATAACTAAAAATACCTAGGCATAGATTGCAACTTTATACACTCACAACTAGGGACTACAGGTAATTACAGCACTATCGCTGATCTCCACACTGTACAGTTCATCGTTACACACGCACTAGGTTTCTCAGTCTTCACTAGTCGTATTCTGGCAACGGATTTATAACAGTCTCTGTCAATTCAAATCACACATGAAATCTTCTTTGCACCTCCTAATTCCTTTCTTGCCATTATTCTGCGGGTGCCAATTCCTAAGACTCGACTCAGTTCATTTCCTCTGCTCCCAAGTTCATATTCGGGCAGTCTGGCGTCTCAAAACTCGACTTCATTTTCTACTGCTGTATGCTGCCGAACACTTCTGTATAACCACTTTACACGGACCACGTAGAAAACACCGTCTTCTATTATCCAGTATTGTTTTAGGCGTGTTTACCGCACCATTGCATAGCAACGGTAGCGTCGAGGACCACATAGAAAACAGCCTCTCTATTGTTGAGGCATGTATACCGCAGGCACCTGTTTACCGAATCGTTGCCTAGCAATGTGTATGCACGTCATAATATATTACTGTAGAACTGAACTAAAAAGTTTCTGTAAATCAATATATCATTTTTGCTTCAATTGAATATTATAGGACATAAATAAATAAAGCAGTAGCTGGAAAATCAATATAACTGGCAATTTTTTGTGCTTCAGCTTTATGTATAGGAGCAGAGATGAACAGAATAATTGCTAAAACTCAATATGATTTTTATGTCTGTGATTAGTGGTTTAGTATTAGAATACGTGGTGATGTCTAATCGCGTTGTGTTTTAATGAATAAATAAAACTAACCTTTAATTTGTGTATAAGCCTAAAATTTAATAAACATTCATTTATCACGAACAGCTGGCTGTAACAATCCTGCTCATAAATATTTTCCTGTGATTTTATGAAGTAAATCTTCTCTACAGGAGACGGTGCCTTTAATCGCGATAATACGTGTGCAGCATGGAAGGACCTGAGCACTTGCCGGGTTAATTGTACAAGTGTGATCTCTAATGCTACTACTCTCTCAATGATGCACGAAGCATAAGGGTTGTCTTCCGAATTAGGTTCGCTGCGGGACACGTCGCTGAATCAGTTGCGTAGTGCACTGCAATGGAAGGATGAAATAATGTTCAACAGTCATTTATATTAATGTCATTTTATTATTCATTTTCTAATGCGACAGGTTGATTGAGGCGCTATTCTACAAGCCGGAAGGTCGCGGGTTCAAGTCCCGATGAGGTAATCGATTTTTTTTTTCAATTGACCTGAACTTTCCGGCCTGGGGTCTACTCAGTCTCTAACAGAAATGAGCACCAGGAATTAATTAAATAATTTTTCTGGGGAGTAAAGCGCGGCCGGCGCGTAAGGCTGACAACCTTACCGCCATCTTTGAGCCGATTGTCTACATAATGTGGAACTCTCAATGTCTCACAACCCTATGGGCCTCCATGGCCTGGTACAGTGATAGCTTTACTTACTTACTTTATTAAATGTGATCACGGGACATACCCTGTGCATTATATGCGGAAAGAAACAGCTTCGTATGAAAATTATAAGCTTCTTGGATTGCTGTGTAATCACGGGACATACCCTGTGCGTTATATGCGGAAAGAAACAGCTTCGTATGAAAATTATAAGCTTCTTGGATTGCTGTGTAATTTAGTAAAAGTGTACAAACATTTCTGAGGAACCTGCTCTCTCCATTTTCAAGGATCACTTTTCTACCCAGAAGATGGAGGCAGTAGGTTCCTCCGAAACGTTAGTACTAACGTAAGAAATTACTTGATGTCACATCCCAGAAGACCTTAATCTTGATATGCTACACGCCACCGTAAGTACTTGAAATTTCATACAGCTCTCTGTGACTCATAATGCAACGGAAATTAAGTTCCCACAGTTAAAAGTGTTAGTCGGTATAGTTGGTAACACAGCTGAATTCCCAAACGAGAACCCCAAAATTTGAGTGTAATGTGTTAAAGCTGGGTTTGTCAATAAATGATATAATGATACAAATTCCGTCCCAAGTGCAAACAATATATTATGTGTCCTTGATATTGCTCCTCTACACTACATGTTTCGGCCTCACACGGCCATCATCAGGTGTATAACACTCACGTTGCTGTCACACTGCACCCAGCCCAAAATTTAACATTTAAAACACTTTCCTTGTTGTTATCAACATCTACTTCGTTGATATCTGTCTGGTTTGTAGATTATTTTACACGCGTTAATTTTGACGTTCCTGTAGTAGCACTATAAAATCTTTAGTTCTAATTTTAAAATCCTTTAAAATTTTTCTCTAAATTTTAAATTTAAAATTGTTAGGGTTACTCGCCCTATATCTAAAGTGCTGCAGCGGCTAGTTCTTGTTTCCACACTGTATAGGTGTAGTCTTCCTGTGTGCGTGCCGCTGCTATTCTTTACTACGTGTGCTTAAATATACTACTGGGTTTGTCAGCTCAAGATGCGAAGGCAAAACTGTATCTACGTTGGCCAAATATATTCCTAAGTTTGTGATATTAACAAATCACCGGAGCCATAGAAGTAAAGTGAACTTGTCCCCTGTGCTTAACTAATTAAACACTACACCATGAAGGCGTATGGGGGAGTGGACATATATATCCACATTTTCGTGACCTCGGCACTAGCTGAAGGTGAATTTTCAGCTTCACGACCCTGCCGCTTTACCCCCGTAGAAATAACCCCCAGGTACCCGTTGGATAGGAGACGAGTGGGCCTCAGAGCCGGTCTGGACGACATGGAGAATAGAATATTCTTGAACCTACCGGGACCGAACTCCGACCCCTCGGTCGTCCAGCCCTCAGCCAGTGGCCATACCGACTGCGCTATCCTGGCTGTGTATAAGAAACAGGCTTCCTGTATTAATATTTTTAGTTTATCCTTGTTTTCAGCTGGCCGTGTTTGAGCAGTTCCTGTCTTGAACTCCTCGTGTTAATTTCAAACATATTCAGCAACAAAATTACGTGACCCTTTGTGGTGCATATGCCTGATGCCAATAGTGACCTCAATAACAAGTCCCTCTAGAAAATAAGAGAAAAATGTTAGATGGAACTCGAAACTCCGCTGGAAAATATGTCTTCCCAGAAAACTGATACGGCATTGGGTCTACAATTATTATTATCTTTCACGAATAACTTCGCTGCTATGGTCGACATCATGGTTTTATGATCACAGGATTGCTTCTTGCAGTGTTTAGAAATAATTACAGGCATACTGTTTCCTGGTATTTCGTTAGTTAGTGATGCGCGTAAGTTTTATTGCAATAGCAACGATGTTGGAGTCCAAATATTCACGAATGGCACCGCCCTTCATTACAACAAACCTCTAAGCCGTATTTCATCTAAGAAGTTCCATTCTAAGTTGTATCTGTATTTATCCTAATAACAAATATTTTTCTCTGGAATCAGATAGCTGCAACAGATAAGATCCCAGTACGGATATTTTCAATTTACCATTGATTTCAATGATCCATCCTCACCGACGTCTGTGAGCCGATTGTCTAGAAAATGTGGGAGCCGCGACTTCTCAAAACCCTCTGGGCCTCCACGGCCTGTTACAGGATAGCTTACCCTGTATATGCATATATGAGAAATATGAAAGCACTGTAAAATATTTTATATATTTTGTTTTTCCTTGGCACTACAGCCCCAGTGGACCTAGGCGTACCTCCATGAACTTCTCTGTTCACTTCGGTTTTTCTAGATCTTACACATTCGGTAGGACTCCTTGGACGGGTGATTAGCTCGTCGCAAGGCCTCTGCCTGTACACAAACACAGAAAAACGCACACACACAAACTAAACATCCATGCCCTGATTGGGACTCGAAGCCACGACCCCAGTTTCCAAGCGACCGAAGACAGTACATGCCTTAGACCGCTAAGCTACCGTGACCGGCATTTTATGTATAGATGTATATTTTATAAAATATGAAAATGAGGGATTCAGAAATTTCCATTTTAGAACAACTTTTCCCCTGGCATTTCTATCGGCACTCTGCGTAACACAGTGTCACCAGATTACCGAAATCGCTGGTGTAGAGATACTACTCTAGAGGTACTCGGTTCGAATCTCGGCAGCGAAACCGTATATCCGGACTGAGGTTTTATACGGTTTTTCTAAATTCCACCACGCAAATGCCAGGACATTACTTCAACTTTATCATTTCCTTCCAAATCCTTTCCGACTCTTCATTCACCTATCACCTTGCCATTCGAAGTGACATAGTCTGGCTACTGACAGCGTCATTAAATAACCCACAAAAAAAAACAAAAATGCTTGAAGAAGATATCGACAAGGCAGACCAGTCTCCTTCTCGCTCCATCACTCCAGAAGGTCGAAGTTGCTTTGCAGTTAACTCTATTCAGTAATTATACCAGAGGTGCTGACGCAGCGTACACAACTGAAATACGCTTTCATGTGACAGGGGGAGTATGACGTAGTTGTGTACGTTTTTGAAGATCTGGAGTTTAAATTGAGATCTTCCATTTCCCGCAGGAAAGCTACATGGATAGAAAGTTCTCCGGCTCTACGTGTGCTTATTAATTTCGTGTATCAACATGGATGCGTCATCGAGAAACAGACACGCCTTCTCTTCCACAATTCTGCTACTTTTAATTGGAAGAGGTGAGTGTAGGATACGGCTCATACATTTTTAAAGATTTCACTTCGTTATTTGTTTATTCGGTTATGCTACAATGCTGAACCAGGTACTGGCTTTATTTTGTGTCTAATGACATAAAGTGTTCAATCTTGTGGGATACAACGCCGTGCAAACCGTTGAAAGACAGTCGAATTTTCGGAGGAACGTTTCGCCTCCATCTTCATGATCTGAGAATAAGCCAAGCAAGAAACTGGTTTGAAGCAAGTAGAAGAATAAGCAAAGCAAAAACTCACCATGAAGCAGGTAGCAAGGAGGGCAATCAGCGCTTTCAACAAACGGTTTTCTCTACTTGCTATCTGCTTCATGTTTATATGATTCTAAGAATAATCAGTGATTATTTGCCTAAATGATTTTATCCGGTCGATATTCTTAACGGAGACACAGTGAGTTTCCTCTTAGGGCGTACGTATGAGCTGAATTGAAAAAGAGAACTACATTAATTTCATGCTTAAAATGATAAAATGTTATGATGTAGGATGTAACTTCAAATATATGTTGCTGAACATTTTTACACCAACTATCAGTGAATTATTATCTTCGTGCGCATGAATATTTGTCTACAATTTAATCTGCATGGAGAGTCTTAAAATATACAGCTTCCTGTCGCGCTTGTAAACTGCTCGTGTGCTATAGTGTAACTTCTTGTTTCTATAAACGTTACTTCTACGGCATGTTCAGTTCTTGTAAGATCATCAGGTAGATACTTTTACGCAATTGCAGTGTTTTATTGCATTTTCTATTTCACTTCCCTAAACTCCGTTAAAACTACAGTTCCAGTTTTTGTAACCCTGCAATTTAAACCATTAACCTGTGCAACAGCACGCTGAAATGTAAGGTTTGTCTACTGGTTGGTCCAGTCAATAAATGTGACGTAAGTACCCAAATTGTGCAAGAAGTTGCCACAAGTTCTTAATTCTTGGTGGGTGTTTTATTAAAAATTGGAGGCAGTGCCTGTACAAAGTCACTAAAATCTCCTGTGGTTTTCAAAGTTTCATTCATTGGTGACTGGTGATTTGTTGGAAGGCGCCGTGTTCTCGCTGATGGAGGAAGAGAAACAGGCGACCATGTTGTCAACCAAAGTGGGGGAGTACGTTGTGTTCAACTGTCCCCTGGACTTCCCACATGACTACGTCATACCCTACATTCTGCGCTGGAACAAGGAGGTAAGCCCTTCCCTTCCTGTGTAGTGTCTGGTTTCAGTGCCATTGCAGTCAAGCACAGGGCTGAACCCAATTTCCTAACGTGATGGTGGCTAGGCACTGATTGCCTAATTAATTTCCAATTAACTTTACTAAGAAACTAACTCCCTAACATTCTCCCATATGACCACACACTGTTTCTTAGAGTTTCGAATTTAATGTAGTCATCCGGCTAGGTTTGGGACTGTCTTGTGTTCTCTTCACCTGGGCTTGCTGGCCACAATGTTATTCTATTGAATCTGAGGTTCTGTGACTATGAAGAGTAAGGTGTTCTGGGTTGTAACCAAGTCTAGTTCGGAGAGAAACTGACATTTCGGAAGAACAGGGCCGAAGTGTGAGCCAGCAGAAGCGGGTGGCAAGATGTGCTTGGCTTACTCTTCATCCTGAAGATGGAGGTGAAATATTCCTCTTAAACGTCAGTCTCTCGCCGAACAACCTAGAAGACATACTCTTCAACTTTTTGTTTTTATTTCTTCGTTTCTACGTTCGTTTTAACTGCTGCGCTAATCTCGTGCCTAATAATCCCTTTGCTAGCTAAGGCCACAGAAAGCAGTCCCATGAATCGATAACCCCGACGTCTCAGAACTGCTATTTTCCCTCCGGCGTACTTCCATATATTCCCCTCCAGTCATTTAACCGTTCTGTTCACATGAATATTGGTAACGATAACCACGTGACAACTTTACCTAATGACAAGCGCTCTGGACCACGAATCTGTGCTCTGGGCTGGTTGAGGTAGACCAGAAGCCGGAGAATATTACAACAGTTGGCGGTGTGACCTCAGAATGACGTAATATATACAATGGCTTATCAGACGTAGACTAGGGAAGAGATGGAGTAAAGTGTACTCTAAACAAGAAAAATCATAATGATATTTACCTCCAGTTATTCATGAAGTAAATTCAGCTTTGTACAATGGGTAGGATTTGTGCATTGGCTGACATGTAGGGCAGAGACCGAAGTGAGAGTATCTTAGAGTAAGATGTGTTACTGTGGATAGCGTTAATTTGGTTTAGTTTGGACGTAGAAATTAGATTTTGAGATAGGGGATTCAAACTTCATGTTCTAACACCAGACACTTGCTTTGTGAAACGATTGGTTGATTAGTTATTTGCTTTGTTTGTTGGGTAAGTCAGGTTGTTGAATATAGTCGGGGATCCACAGAAGAATTGACAGACATTTTCCCCTTAGCGTGCTGTCCCCACTCTTTCTAGTTTCCATCGCGCACACCCAATGCAGTATGGGTAGAGAAAGTGAGCAATCAGCCGCCGAAGTTCTCTCCTCTTACCCGTGTCGATTATTTCGTTGACTCTACTGTAGCAGTTGCTACTTCATTGGTTGCTTAGTCTAACAATATTAACCACTCTTTATAATCTGCACTTTATCCCATGACAGCTTCTAGACTGTTTTCTTTCCGTAAGGGGAATCTTAGGCGAATACCACGATGACGTCTTCGAACATGTATCTCCAATTAAATTTATGAAACAATTGCTTGATTTTCATGAAATTTGGTGAATATATTATGCCAATGCAGGCTACCCCAAACTCGTAATTTCAAATTTTCTGAAGTCAATAATAAAAACATGGCGTAGTCGCGAACTTGTAATGAAGGAATGGAGTAACGCTAACACTTCATGTTATGTGTTGTGCAACTTTTGTAAGGTAATTTCTTTATTGAATGTAGACCAACAACAAGACTGCCGCATGAATTCTGTAGACCTATTATTCTTCGGTCTGATGGGTGTAACATATAATCAGTTGGAGGTAGACATAAACATTCCTACAAATTGTAATTCAATAAATAATAAAACATGACAGTTGCACGAATATTTAAGTATATGTCCAATACATATAATAACATGCTTCTAGCAGGAAAACAATTAGATAATAATAGTAGTAATAGTACTGCACTAGCGATATTCTGTAACAGTTTTTAAATTTGAAAGCAATATATATTCTGATTTGACCAGGATTCGTTCGTCTAACCATTGGCGCATGCGTTCATCACGCTAGTCCATGATCTAAATTAAAATTGTTATGTTCGACTATACGTTTACTTTATCAAAAATGGTATTAAAAGCACGGGAGTAGTAAGATTATTAGTCTATGCAACAAAAGAAATAGATACTTTATGGGATTTCCCCGGAATTCTTTGTTAATTGTTGTATGCAATAGCGTTATCATGAATGTTCATTTGTTTGAGTGACGTATGAAGTTTCGCATTCAAATAGAAGAGAGCGCAACCTGGGACCTATGTAGGATATTTTGACCAGATTCTTATTTCCGAAAGAAGCTACTGTAGCTCGCCCGCTGATTTTCTAAGATTCAATTGTTGAAGGTTCCTTGCTGCTTAACCAACGAAATGGACGCAATGCCAAGACTTCATGAAGATGCTCTTCAGGCTTCAATGAAGTTGAAATGTGCGTGCCTCGGGGTTCCTCTCCCCGCATGGAGGTTTCAGTTCATTACACAGACCTTGATGACTTCCTTAGCAAGCGCGAGTTCTTCTAATTGCTCCGAAACTGAATAATTTTCACATCACGTGCGACTTGTTGCAATGTAACTACTGATGGCGTAGTCGAGTCATCAAAAAAAGTACATCATTATAATTAGGATAAAAGTTCCTGTGTCTGAGAACCGCGCCCTCAAGAAGCCCAGGAGACGTAGCTCCGTACATCGTAGGCACAGTTGCGTGATCGGCTTCAAGCTCCGGGTCCCTTTTCTCGTGGGAAAGGTCTGTATCCGAGTGTGGCCTAGATAACATTTTGATGAAGAAGGATCCTGAATTGTCCAGCCGGATATTTTATTTTTTAGCGTGAGGCGCCGACCTACGAGTAGTAAGAGGAACTCGAAGTACTGTAAAGCAAAGTCATCAGCATTGAATGATGATTTTACCATCATCGAGAGGCAATACTGATGTATACTGGATATAGAACGGACAAACTGGCTTAAGATTCCAACATCTGCAGGCCTTTTCCAGATGCTCGACATTGAGAAAGTGTACGTGTAAATTTTTATGAAATTTGTCGTCTCGCAGAAATTATCATATTCACTTAACAAGAGAGATGAGATAGGCAGGCCATGTAGTAAGCATGGAGATATGAGTATAGTAGTCTAATAATCATTGAAATGCATCTTATCGGAGTAATATCCGTACGGAAATTAACTGGCTTGGGCTAGCGTTCAGTTACGGGCCTCTAAACACAACAATGAACCTCCAGGTTCCATGTTTTACTTCTAGATTATTTAATATTTCTTTAAGTAACTCAGTTTATAGTCCTAGAGAATCTTTTTTTATTATTATTATTTATTTAAGGACACTATCAGTATCGAAATTATATAGCTTGGAAACATACTGAGTAACGCACAGGAAAGGATGCTGAAGAAAGAGGTCGTGGCTTAATTGCAGATACGATCCTAACATCTGCCTGGAGACTGAAGACAATCAAGTAAAATCACAGTCAGGATTGTTCCTGTTCCGTCTGAGATTCGAACATAAGCCTGAAACGTCGCCGCTTCATACAATTTGCGCGGTTGCTGTGGAAACACAGGATTTCTTGAGGAGCTGAGTAACTATCATATTTTTAAGGAAGGACCTAGTGTTAATTGCTGAGATTTATTTTATTATATATGCATATCATCATCATCAGTAATCTGTCAAGACGACAGGTCCACAGTCTCTTTCAAAACAATTCCTCCACTTAATGCGATCTAGAGCTTTCTCCTTCAAATGACAGTATCCTCTTCTGTCCCCAAGGTCATCCAGCATCTTCTTACGTCTTCTTCCTCGTCTTCTTGTCACTTCTATCCGCCCATCTATCTTTCCTTCGATAGCTTCTTTTAGAAGGCAGTTTCTGCGTAAAACATGACCAATCCAATTAGCCTTCCGTTTTCTTATTTCATGTAGGATATTCCTCTGCTCACTGACTCTAATTAACACTTCTTCATTTCTCACATAATCGGTCCAACTGATCTTCTCCATTCTTCTCCAACACCACATTTCGAAACTTTCCAGATGTTTCTGATCTACTGCCCTAAGTGTCCATGTTTCAGCCCCATACAGAGCTATGCTCCAAATGTAGCATTTCACTAGTTTCTTCCTCAAATTTAAGTCCAATTTGCTGGTAAAAAGATTCTTCTTCTTGCTAAATGCAGCTTTTGCCATGGCAATCCTGGATTTAATTTCACAAGTACACCTTCCATCATCTGTTAACAAGCTACCCAAATATTTAAAACATTTCACATTCTCCACTTGTTTTTGGTCTATCTTTATTGTGACTGGGGTTGGTTGTCTCGAAATTTTCATTACTTTTGTTTTCTCCACATTCATTTCCATGCCATAGCACCTTCCAATTTCAATTAGTCTATCAATCATGCCCTGTAGCACAGTTTCTTCCTTAGCCATTAACACAAGGTCATCTGCATATTTCACAGTTTGAATAATTTGCCCTCCTACTTTGAAGTCACCGAGCCCATCCAGAGCTTCCTTGGTAAGGCATTCGCTGTACAAGTTGAACAGAATTGGTGATAAACAGCATCCTTGTCGAACTCCTCTTCCAATCTGCACACTTCCTGTCTCCCCCCTGTCCAGTCGTACTCTAACTTTCTGATCCATGTACAATTTGCTAATCAATCTTCTTTCATGCCAATCGATACCTGTTTCTTTCAGGATCTGCATTAATTTGGTCCAGTTTACCCGGTCAAATGCCTTCTGCCAGTCTATGAAGCAAACACACAGTTCTTCATCTATCTCCAAAGTTCGTTCCGCTATAATTCTCATCATCCCAATTGCATCCCTGGTTCCTTTTCCTCTTCTAAATCCAAACTGATCTTCTCCAAGTACATCCTCTATTTTCCTTTCAATTCTTCTTTTAAGTATCTTTGCTATTATCTTTGCTGTATGTGCAATAAGACTTATTGTGCGATGGTCGCTGCATTTTGTAGCTTTTGTCTTTTTCTTTAAG